GCTAGTGTCGCCGCACTCGTTTTACTTGTGAACGCGGGCGGTTGCGCAAGACGGTTCACCTCATGGGCAGTCAGTTACAAAAACGAACTGGTAGACTCTCGCTCACTTTAAAATATACCCGCAGAGAGGAACGCGGTCTTTATCGCCTATGCCCCAACTAACATTTATAAGTGGTTTATAACAAAGAGAGAAAGAAATTTAGGTTAATAGTTTTGAAAAACGTTCAATAAATATAAAAATACTTACGTTTAATAATGTTGCATCCAAACCGTTTCCTTTACTTCGTTTATAAAACGGTTAGAGTTCGTTATTTCCGCAAAACCTTTGTAAATCTTAAAACACCTCAAAAATATTCTACTGTCACTGTTTGACGTATATAACTTTATAAAACTTTTAGCCCAGTAACAAACCTTTTCACTTAGAAAACCGCTATTTTTTCGAAGTTTTGATGTTTAATTTAAAATGTCACCACCTAAGAAAACTTGTTTAAAAGGTTAAACCTTGCCCTAAGAACTAACTATTTCTTAGTATTAGCAAAATATTATTTTAAAATTTATTAAATGTCATACCAAAAAGGTCTAGTGACTCTTCATCATCAACTTTGTCATGGATTGTATAAATGGAGAATTAGGAAATTAACGAATTTTTCGAACATAGTAAAAATGGATGAAAAGATTTTGAGACCGTGTGTAATTCTTACAATAAATCTTAGTATTTTATTGTCGCGTAGGACAATGTTTACAATATTTGCTTCAAATGATGAGTTAACATCTAAGGTGATACTAAAGTCTCTGACTCTGTTGGATGTTGGATTTTTTTCTTCAAAAAATCAATCTTAAAAAAATCTTAAAAATATCAATATCGAACCGAAAAATACTAAAGAGACTCAAATAGAATCCCTGGGGAACACCCGACGTAACATTGCACACTGCGAGCGGTCGGTCGACCGAAGGTAAGATGATCAACTTTATCAAAAGTCTTGGAAAAGTCGGTGTACACAGGGCAGGTTTCTTTGCTTCCTGTCAAAATATATGTAATTTTTTCTTCAATTGTTTTAATTAGAATTTATTCTATTTAAAAAATTGTTTGTGGTTCTGCGCACTGGCACTAGTGCTCATTTTTTCTAAGACACTTTCAGAATAGCGAAAATATTCCGGCACCAAATCTGGGTTCCGAATAACTTTTTTTCATTTTAAGGGGTTAAAAGCACTCCACTGTGCCCGGAACGGCCGCCAAGGACGGTGCTGTTTTCCCAACTTCTTTAAATTGAACAATTTTGCATTAAATAAAAAACTGAAAAGTGCATTGCATAATCGACATTTGACACTTGCGCAGTAATAGTTTTCAATTGTTTTTCCGGTTACGAAAGTTTTTATAAATACCGTTTTGGTAACTTATAAAACTGTAAGTATTGAAAAAACACCCTTAGTTTTCCTGTAAGACACCGAAGTAAGTTTTATAGAAGTTTACAAATATTACTTGAAAGCTTTTATATGGCGGTCATTGTTATTTCGAATTGACATAAATAAATAAACAAGACAATGAAGAATGTCGCATTTTAATCAATGTTCCTGAAACTTAAAGATATATTTCTTCAATAATATACGATTTAAGAATGTTCTGCATTTAATTGCAAGAAATCTTGATAACCTTCAGATTTTTACAAAAATTCATTTTTAAAGTGATTATAACTTAGGTGCTTCAGTTTCAGTAAAGGGTAAAATAAAAAATTATTCGTAGTAGGTTTTCAGAGTTTTTGAGATTCTATAATATAATATAATGTTATATGTTATATGTTATATAATGAAATAAATACAAGGACACGAAATAAAATATATCTCAAACAAATGATATAGAAAATGGTGAAGCTAAAATGAGACGTTGTTTGTTTGGTGGTTATAAACACCGTAGGTAACTTTTATAACAGTAACGAAAAAGTTTTATAGAACCATTATAGAACAATTTAGTTACAAATAAATGTCGAGAAAAATTTGTTCACCATTATTTTTACACGGTTCTCAACTTAAGTGCTGTAAGGGTTTTTATAAAAGTAACATTAACGTTATAAAACAAAAAATGTTAGTTGGGTTGCTCTTTCATAATCAGATTTACGATACAATTATAAGCCTACCATTTTCATTGAGCTTGAGACTGAGTCTTTTTTCTCGGACATGGTTTTTGCATTTGTTGAGTCCAATGCAAGTAGCAACTAACTCAACATTTTTTAAAATATTTTGAACAATGCCTATGGGGCTGTCCTCTTCGTGTCTGTAGTTGACGCATCGCAACCATAACTCTTTAAAGAACGGAGCGGTCTCTAGGACTTCTGATCTTATATATAAAACCATTTAAATCGTACAAACTATATATTTAATATACTTACGGAGCCGTTTAAACATGAGCAAGCCAAGGATTTTTATGCTCGGTTGTAAATAGAGCTTTGCAAGCTATAATTACCGAGTCCGAGATGAAAATGGTCAAGTTTAAAGTCGAAAAGACGAACTCTCGGATATATATTATTTTAATAAATCGCCCTTTTATCTCGAACTCGCTATCTGAAGATAATGTTTTTTAGTTCTTTTTATGAATACGTCTTAAGACTAGCTTTCGCTACTCATAAATCTTATATCGACTAAAGTGTAGGGTGATAAGGGTTCTTTTTGTAAAAACTTATTACTGAGACGTGCTTGACTATAGAACCGTCCTTATTACTACCCTCGATAACACTTTTGTAACGAACGTGACAGACTTAGAACTCGCGTATTTCCCAAATAGGAGTGAATATCTATCGTTTGTCTTCCATCGTTTCGAATAGATACGAAAGAAGTTCCTACGATGGCGATAATTCGAATTCAATACGCCAGAAAGCGAACCATAAAATTCCAACCAAAGGGTGTTCCAAAGGTAATGCAAACATTACAGAAGTGTTGCACTAAATTAACATACGGGAAACACTATTATTTAATTATTAAATTTTTATTAAACACTAATATTAACGTGGATTGGAGCTTACAAACTCCGACAGTGTGTTAGATAGGTAAATAGAAATTTCATTGTTCTCAATCGTACAGTTTTGTAACAATCTAATGCAAACTATAAATTACGTCAATATTAATAAGCGCCTAAAAACTATTAAAATTTTATTAAACCATAGAAAAAAAGAAAGAAAAAATATGATAAGGTAAATAGAAATTTCATTGTTCTCAATCGTACAGTTTTGTAACAATCTAATGCAAACTATAAATTACGTCAATATTAATAAGCGCCTAAAAACTATTAAAATTTTATTAAACCATAGAAAAAAAGAAAGAAAAAATATGATATTTGAAACAACTGAATAATCGTCGATTGATATACACTTCACTGAAAATATCTTTATGATTGAAATTAAAAAGAAGGCGTACTTAAAGTTTGGACCCTGCAATTCGCAACTAAAACGTCCGACGACACCAAGTCGACCAGTTACTAAAAAAATAAATTTTGTACAAAATTTAATTTTCGGATGCTGAATTTAAAATTCAAGTTTTATTGGCGGGTTCTGCAATGAAGCTTAAAGGAAAATAAAAAGTCCTTTTCAATAATAAATGAAGGCACCCGTACTCGGTCGGTTGATCTCGGAAACCGCAACGCAAATTTTCAAATCAAAATAATTGAGGTCTGAAATCCAGGATATAGTTTCTATTGTGCAGAGTGAGTCAAAACGATGAGTCAACCCGTTAATACCGTTTGAACATATTTGGACTTGTATTGCATCGTTTTTCATTTTTGCGCACGATTTTTAAAGTCATTTTTATTTATAAATCTCACAGTTTCTTACAAATTTTGGTATGTATAATTGTCCAGAGTCTTGCACCTTATTACCTGCCAAATTTTCTCGATGAATGGACTATGTCTTAAACCTGATTTTCTTTAAAAACCCTTTACTTAATTTTTTCCTTTGTTTATTTTTGATAGCAGCTCAATATATTGAGACCTCATATTGTTGTTAGTAGATAGGCACAGCCATTACAGAATTTCTTCGTATTTTTAATTTTGTACTATTGCAAATGTATTGACTTAACTAATTCAAGGCCAGCTAGTAGGCTGCCTTTATTTACAAAATTACATAATTTACATGACTAGTATGACAAGTGTAATCTCAACCAATCAGTCAAATATCTATTTTCAGCATAGATAATATTGTAGTTCTTTATTAAAAATTCTCAGTGAAATTTCTATAAACATTTTGACAGAATTCCATCTATATTTTAATTACTTTCTGATTGATTAATTGATTGATAATAAACAAAATACGAAATCTTAATATATTAATGTGGTAAATAAATTATATAAAAAACTAGCTGCTGATAATTTTGATTTTGTATATATACATAAAAACATAGAAAAAGTAAATAATTCAAAAAAGCCAAGATGACAGCAATGATATCAATTCGTAATTGAATAGAATATCGGATTTCAATATACATTAAAAAGAAGTAAATTTGTAAATAAACAAGTAGCACTCTATCCCACTATATCATGCCAATTGCAACAGTAAGTCCCTATGTGAAGAATTTTGTTTTACGTTGAACATTATAGAACGAAAGTTGTTCTCCCAAACATAAACTAACAGTTTTATTGTACCTATTGTAAACATCCTCTCATAAACCTCGCTCTAATTAAGCATTCTTTAGAAAGTAGCTTCAGAAAGCGAATGTGACAATTTTTCCCAAAATCCAAAAAAAAGTCATATCATTGCACTTTTTCTTTTATCAGAATTTATTTTGCCATTATTCCAGAAAAAAATTATTTAATAAAACGTTTCCTCCCATCACTTTCTCTGTAGACATCGAGCAGCATTAAACCAAAAAGAATCCAATTTGTTCCAGCTTTGAAATACTCACTTCAACTATAGTTAATGTTATTTTTTTTTAAGTTTTTTAATTCAAAATACCAATTATACCCTCGACCATTTTAGCAACTCGTACATAATTTCCCGTCCCATGCCCTAATATCATGTATCGTTGCCCTTACTGGGACACCCGGTATACCAAGCTTTAACCAAATATGCGATGTTATTTTTGAAATAGTTTTATGTTTAATTGAACCCATCTTTTCGACTCACGCTACTATTTTTAAAAACATGTTCGAGAATTATCTTTTCATTTACAAGACATTTTCTTCGATACCGTCGCATTCGCTCGTATTGCCAGACGAAACAAGCAAGCACGTTGCAATATTTTTGGAACACTCGGGATATTACGCGGGGTTCTTTTCGCACACCACCGGGACGAGTTATTGAGCGAGTACTAAGGACGTCAAGACAGAAATGGCGGGGGCCTAATGGCGTATTGTATGTTCTCGGTGCGGTCTGGCCTATGGCAGAGGGCAGCAGACGCGTCCCTTCCCAGTCTCTGGGCGCCGCGACGGCGGCGGCCCACCGTTGCGACGTCTGCGGCAAGTCACTCAGCACCAAGCTGACCTTGAAACGACACATGGAACAGCAACACCTGCAACCGTTGAACACGGCCGTGTGCAATTTGTGTCGCAAGGTGTTTCGGACGCTTAATTCGCTAAACAACCACCGTAGCATTTACCATCGACGCCAGCAGCACCATCAACACCACCATCAAAAGTCGCCCCTTTAACGGCGCCGTAGATCGCAGGCGGTCCGCCCCGCCGCCCCCACGTTGTTACGCCCCCGCTTGTCGAAATGACGTTGTCAAGCAGTCGAATCTTTTCTATTTTTTAAGCAATCGTTTGTTATTGGTTCGAGCAAAAGGTCGTTTGGTTGCGTTAAATTCGGAAGAAAAATAACTGTTTGCTATACAGGGTGATGCACGGTGGATGACAATTTAGACATTTTCGGAGCATACGTATAACTTTCCGAAAATTTGGCCGTCATAATAAAATACAGATCTCTAAGGGTTGGTTATTCCTTAGATGATTAAAAAAAAATTATAAATAAACCTAAAAATTAAATTATTAGGTCCGCAATCACTTTGTTTTTCATATATTACCGGCAGACTACAAAATCTCTAAATGTGCGACACATCTAGGTATTCTGCACATTTGCCATGCAAAATCCCTAATATTTTGAGTAATCTGCAAATTGACTACGCTGTTTTAGGGAATCTGCAAAATGTCAAGCATCAGTCAAGCTGATGATAAATAAAAAGACACTCTTTCATATACTATTCTTAAATATAAACAAAATTTTGTATCCGTTACCAGAACTATTAACAAATTAAACCACTATACCAACGTACGTAGAAATACATATAAATACACAAATGATGTAAAACGGACTTGACATAAACCTAATATAAAATTCTACGTACTGCCTTTTTAATCGGTGGTATTTGAGAAGGCGTTAAATGTTTGACTCGAATCCATTATTGACGCCTGCCTCCTATCACTCTATCAACTCAACTCAACCACAGAAACCAAAACTAAGAATTTTCTGTAAAAACGAGCAAGAGCCCGGTTACTTTGAGTTTCTGTTATTTTCTTGTTGAGTTGATAGATGATAGGACACAGGTGAATGTACAACTTGGCATCAAGGGATTACAGCTAAACATTTAACGCCTTCTAGTATTTGTTTTCATCCGCGACTCGTCCTCTCAGAATTTCATCAAATGATAGAGACACACCATTGTAGTACTTATTGTCCAAGAATATTTCTTTCTTTCCGGTAGCGATTATGATTCGCTACAACTTCGATAGAATTATTCATTGCGCACACTCACGCACCAGACATGTTGGAGATTGCCTAAAATAGCGGAGTCAATTTTCAGGTTTCACAAAATAGTAGTGGTTAAGTATTTAAATAATAAGATGGACTATCATCTTTTTAATTTAAACTGCTATAGATATTTTGTTGAAATTTAAGCTTAACATTGAATATTTTTATCGAAAAAAATTGTCTTTTTAAAAAAATAAATGACATTTCTTTTTTGGTTATTGGTTTGATATATTTTGTTGTTATTTTGGATTATTTTGTAGGTCAATTTAGCACCAACTGAACTCAAAGTGAAACTTTGTTGGAAAAAGGTGGTTGCTTTCAATTTTGTAGAACCCGTTTGAGATATTCTTGATGAATTTTAGATACCTGGCACCATTTTAAATTCTTAAGCATGCGGCGATATTTCTACGAAGAAATAATTTGCAATTTATTTTTGAAAAAACGGTAGCGCCGCATATCAGAAATAAACAATTGGCCGAACCACATTGGAAAAAGTAGTTACTTTGATTATTTTATTCGGCAAATCCTATAACGGAGGATGTTCTTCCAATTTGTTTTTTCTCTATCGACAAAGAACGGAAGTTGCATTGTTTTAAGCCACATACGGCATTGTTCATGGATTTAATTAACCATAATCTTTTGTTTTGTGTATTCCAATTTTGACTAGGCAAGCATATTTTCTATTCAATTATACATACAAAAGATACTCTTAGCATTTGTCGATAAAAGAAGCCAAGACCAAGATTAAATTAGTGATGTTTAATTAAATTCTCTAGTTTATGTTCGCACTCACATCAAATAAAAATACTGACATAATTGTAGTTTCTGACCAAAACAAAACTATAAGCAAAGACCAAATAAAATTCTCACTGGATCTCGCTAACCCAGCCATTGGGGACCCATGTCTATATGAGAGTTTTATGTTAAGATTTATAAGATATAAAAGGAAGAAGGTGCTAACCCAACTCACTAGAACGTAGTTTATCCCTATCCAAACTCAAAAATTAAATATGACGACAGGTCTGGTTAGTTCAAGTTGGTTTGGGTTAGTTCTGGATAAACCACTAAAGTCCTAGTTTGACCTGGAATCGGTTTTGGATGGTTAATTATAATATTATATTATTAATAATAATCCACTAACCCTCAAATTTCCTAAATTTTCAGTCGATTTGATCTACAGTTTCGTGACTATCTGGGGAAAGTATGAAAGTATGCCAAAGTTTTGATTAGTTGCAATAAATATAGAGTCCATTTGAAAAATATGAAATTTTCATAATTTTTATTTTCACCAGCATCATCGACATTTTGAGCGCCCGCGTTCATTATAGAATGAAGTTCATAAAACTATCGCACGAGACCTTCGCAAACAATGGCCAAAATTTTATATCTCTAGGAATTCCAATATGGATTTATTAAGGATTCAATTGGAACTACTCGTATTGACAAAAATTAAGCATAATAATTAATTTTTCAAAAATCGGTAGATAGTAGAATCCACATTCCCGAACCAGTGACGACGTCGCATCCCTGAAAATACAAAAGATGGACATGATCGCTTATGTAAACGACCAAAATTTTGAACGGGTTCTGCATTACAACTATATTGTTCAACATAATGTTTGAATGTTTCGATTATTATTCACGAATATTTGAATAAGATTAGGTAAACCTAATATATAAACATATCAAATTCACTCAAACCGATATTTACCATCGACCCCTACAAATGGATTGAAATAAGATTAAACTCCCGCCTAAATAAAAATAATATATACACGGTGTAGATAGAATATTAAAAAATGACGTCCGTTTGGTTAATAGACATGTAAAAAAAATATTTTTTTAAAATCATTTCTGAAACGATTTCAGATAGCTAAATGCAAATTAAACCACGAGTACCTTTGACTTCTTTTCTTTTATGGGCGAGTTTTTAATTTTTCGATAAAAAATTATATTTTTTAAACTATTTTCCATAAAAAAAAGTGCTTTTATTTAAAGTAAAAAAAAACTATTTTTCTGAGTAATGGTGACAAATTGCATTAATTTCATTTGGGTATCTTAAACCGTGTAAGTATTGGAAAATTGCGTTAAAGAGTTTAAACAGCTTGATCATTAATTATTGTTTTTGATTATTTTTTCTTCCTTTGAAGTATTTTCTTTTTTACAAGTTTTTTGATTGCTGACCTTTATTAAACACTTTAGATGATTTTACACATTTTACCGAAATATCTTTTGCTCGACTATATTAGAAATAGGTGAATTAATGTACATAAAACCATAAAGAAAAAGCGACGACTAGTCTAAACACTATTTAACATGCCGGGTGATGAATTTTTCGGTTTGCAGAAATTCATTGAGAATTTTGAGAAGTATTAATTAAATTTGACTAGAAGGAACCGAGTTACCAAAATTTTAAGACTGCGATATTGAATCATTTCAAAATACTGGCTGTGATTGGATGACTTCTTTACAAATTGGAATTTTTATTAGCGAACTACACAGGGTCGCTCGTTAATTATTACTGAATCTCATTTTGTTTTGGCTATTAGTTTTGCGGTTAGTACTGGGTTATTATTGGAGAACATCTTATTTCAGAGCCTGTAAAAATAATCAATCAATCAAATGTTGCTTGGAGTTTCTTATACTTCTAAAATGTTATTTTTTTATACGTCCGGGATGTTTGTATATAAGTGGACAAGCATCAAATTTCTTAGTCTGATTAGAATACCCTGTATGAGGAATTTTCGAATCCTTAATATTCTCTGCTGTTGCTTTAGTGGGCTGTGTTAATGTTTTAAAAATTTAATATTAATATTAATATTCATATTAATATATACCGCGCAATAAAAAAGGGACAATTTTATCATTTTAAGGGGTCAGATGGTTTGGAAAAAGTCGCACCACTACAGAAACCTCACTATTTTGGCTTGCTGGAGGAAATCAATGTTTAACAGTTTTATACCATGCAACTTAGTTGCTATAATTTTTATACAAACAAATGATTTTATATCTATATAAAATTGTTTTAAAAAAATTAAAAATGGCGAAAATACTACTTAAAATTTATGTAGGTTTTATAAATAAAATATTTTTCATAAAATTTGTTCCATTCTTAGAAATTCAGTAAATTTTAATGCCTTTTGTCTTAATGTTTAGTATTTCAAAACAAATCCGAAGAGCTTAAGGGGGTGATTCCTTGTTTAAATTAGTTTGTTATGTAAACATTGGGTGGGAGCCAACCAGCCAAGCTACAAATATGGCGGAAAAATAATGTCTTTATTTTTAATCATATCAACGAAAGTAGTTAGAAGAATAGAATATTACGGAAGTGTTACTATTATAAAAACACATTTTTTGCCTATTTTTGTTTTAAAATTTTCTATTAAAAAACAAAAACACTGAATTTAAGAAATCTATCATATGGTCATAAATGATAGAAATGGACGGAAAGGCAATATAACCTACAATTTTGTTTTTGGTTCTTAGTGGTTGATTACGATATTTTTGGTACTAAGTTAATATCTAGACAAAAATCGCAATTAGGACCTCAATCAACTTGCGTATACTGACTTGGTATTATCAATGGCGATTTTGGAGTAGAGCTGTGTGTATTCCTTTTAGGTTTCTAATATAAAGTATATAACGAAGGCTTTCAGTAGGAGAAATCTCACCTGAAAAGACCTGCAAACGTGACATAAAATACAAAATATGTCAAAAAACAATACAGCATAATATAGCATACCATATATACTCCAAATTACTAGCTTTTTTCAGGGATTCAAATTAATATGCACGGCCTGTTCGATTAAAAAGTATCAGTGAATCCAAGTAACGTTTGACGTTAATTTTTCTAAATATTTTCCATACGATTTGAGATCGTTTGTTACTCCAAGTAACGTGCTGTTTTTTTTTTTTAATATTTTTGAAAATAAACCCGAAACGATGACCGAAGCGTCCGCACATTCCAACGTTGTTTGATAATGTTTAGACTGTTACGTTTTTTGAATTTGATCCCTTTAAATCAACTATTTAACG